GTAGAAGATTATGCAGCGAAAAATAAAATGAAAATATCATCGAGTAAATCTTTGAATAGTTTACAAACTCTTGAAGAAGGTTTATATGCTTTTGATTGTCAAGGAGGCTCAGAAGAATTATGCAAAGAACCAAAATGTGAAGATGACATTACGGAACATGTCTTCGATTCTAATACTGTTACACCTGATCCTGAAAAATGGATAGAGCATACTATTTTTGAAAATAATTTATCCATAGATTATGAGAAATCTGATATTGTAGATATATCTTCAAAACCGATAGGTGTAATAACAAATAATGACAATAAAGTGACAATGAACGAAGATAAGATAGACAAAAATTATAAAAAATCTATAAATGTTAAAGAAAGTAGACATTTCCAAAAAAATAATCTTATAAATGAAGCTATAAAAGTACTTAAATTTTACTTACACGAAGTTGAAAACGAAGCGGATGTTGTTAAATGCAACATATTGCAAAATACGCTTGAATTTTGGATACAACATGATTTATCATTTCAAAGTTTGGAAAATATTTTGTTTGAAAATATACATACAATTTTTTATCCTCTTGGATTATTGCTATTTTGGTAAGTGTAAATATCCAATACAATTGTGGTGTGTTATGTTTTTATGTATTATTTTAATATTATTTTGTTCACAGTCAAGAAACAATGGAAATGTATTCCGATGAGAATAAGAACGATGAAAAGTCTACGAGCATGAACATGACAGATCTGTTTTCATCTAAATTTTGTCTGCAAATTTGTTCTATGTTATTACAACATATAAATGAAGGTAAGTTGATATATAATGTGTTTTATTTATAATATATAACTTTTGTGAGAATATTAATAAATAAATTATAAGAAAATTGTTACATTTTATATATAAATTCTACAAAACAATAAGTGATCTATTGAAAGCTATATTGTTGCAGATATAGTTATGCACAATAAAGTAACACATATATTTTAGGCCAACCTACTCCTGAATATATAAAACTTTTGTCATCTTTAATGGCTGATCACTATGGAGTACCACTTACTGGATATCCTGGTTCAAGTAGAAATAATACTTCGGCAGAGATGATAGATGGAATTATTAGCACAGTGTCTACAGAAAATGATGCACCTAGGTCATTTGTGCACATTAAAGTAAGATAAATTTTGTTATATTGTAAATGATGGTGTATATGATGTATCTAGTAACAGAAAACTATAGTTGTATTATTTCATCGATGAACTTCTGTAAAAAATCGCACTACTTGATTATAGTGATTGTTAAAAGATTCAATCTTTTCTTCTACAATTCTGTTTTTCTAAATCTGGCATAGTTACTAGATACATTCTGTATATACCGTTTTTATATTTCTTATAATTTTGAACGAACTATACTAATACAAAATTATTATCAGGATTCAGATGCAGTGTGTAGTTTCCTTGCAATGGAGGAAGATTCAATGGTATTTACTTGTGGGCATCATTATCCACTTTCTTTATACCAAACAAACATTATTCCAGCAATGGAAACTGAATTACTAACGTCAGAATCATTACTTCTTCCATGTACGGCACAATATTTAGGAAAAATGTTATCTCAGACATTAAACCCAGATATTCTATGCCCTTTATGTATTCCACAAGCATTAAGAGCACTAGTGAAAAAAGATAATAAATAATACGTATGTACCTGAGATTTCAATTAAATATATTAAAAATGTACATTTTTCACGTATATATATATATATACATATATATACATATATAAAAGAAAGAAAAGAAATATAAAAAAGAAAAAATTAGAAATGCATATGTAACGTCATAATTTAAGTATTGCACAATAATATTTGAATCTGTCAGTGCCATATTAATCACATGTTAGAATGAAAATGAAACATCATGGTAAAGTTTTACATTTCTTATTTATCTTGTTTTTTTTTTTTTCACTTTTTATGTTATCTTCAGAGAGATATATAATATAGAACTATAAATTACTTCAAACTTAGAATAGTTAAATTCAATTTGCACAGTCTTATGAAAATGCATTAAATACGCACATTAATAAGACTTGGAATGAAATAATTTATGAATTTTAATCGATTCTATACTACAAATGAAAAAAAGATATACGATTACTTATATCTTTTTAAATGAAAAACATTTGGAAATGTTATTCTAATAATAAATTTGTTGTTTTGAACAAACAATGTTCATCATAATAATCTAAATGAAATTTTGTTAAATAAATTAGTATACATAGATATCGTATATTTTAGAAGTAAACATTTAAAAAAAAATCTAATCATTTTAGATCTGTTAGAAAGAAATTTTATTAATTTTATGGTTCTATCTTTGATGCTATAATATCATGGTTTTATTACGAATAATTTAGAAGTTAGTAAATAATTAAAAAATAATATTTTGTATTATTATTAATTTGAAAAAATGTATATCACGTGAAATTGATATATTAATTAATAATTTTTTAATTTTATTAATTGTAAGATTGAACAAACACATCACACACACACACAAGTTTTTTATTTATATACATATATATTCGCTTATTAGATTTAAAAAAAAATTAATTTTTTAACATTTTAAGGAGTTCATTTTATATAAATAATCTTACCTTTAATTAGGATTCCTCTTATTAGTGAAATAATACATTTAACATTTAACATGTCATACATTACAATCGTGGATTTATAATGGATAAAATATCGTAACAATTTACATGTACTATAACACAATTTTTTAAATATTCAAATTCAAAACAGTATAAAGAAAAAAAAAAGACAAAGATAAAAAAAATAAAAAAATTATTCCTTTAATTAATTATAAAACGCACAGGGGTAAAAAAAAGTCAAAGAGGGAAATGATATAACTATATCTAAGTTTAATATATATATATATACGAATAATAACATAAAGTATTAATATAATTGAAGGCTGATTTCAGAAACTCACAAATCTTTATATATCACTCTCTAGTCATTATGATATGTGCAACGATTGTATAAATGTATGCATATTATTCAATGCAACAAAACTAAATGTATATTATATATACAAGTTTTCTTTTTTCAACTTAAATACATTAATAGTACCGAATAATACACATATTATACTACACATATTATTCTAGATTAAATATTGTTTTTTTTTTTATATAGTTAAGTATTCATCTTTGTCTTTTATTGAATCTGAACAAAAAAACTACACGAAAGAAGAAGTCTTGGTATTTTAAAATGATTTGTTAATCTTCGTATTGTAATACTTTATCTATAATCATTGAACAAAAATTATAATGTTAAATTAAATAATACAAAAAAGATCTGTTATTCAAATTGAAACATTATTTCATTAGAATAATTTCATAATTTTCTTTTAATCATTCAATATTAGTTACGCAATTTGACATCAATTTTATTATTTCTTATTATGTATATATATGTAAATTCTAATACATGCGAATTGCATTATATTTGATCATAAAAATTGCCATGGGATTTTCTTTCTTCTATTTCATTTTTTTTTTTAATTTTTCCATGACGTTAGAACATATACTATATATGTGGCAACCAAAATATATTAACAAATTAATTTTATAATTTAATTTTTGTAATGAATAATAAATATATTTTGAGAGAGAGAGAGAGAGAGAGAGAGAGATAGAGAGAGTGATGTATTAATGCAATGAAAAAAATCTATATCTATAGATATATGTAGAATGTCTTTCTAAAACGTTTGTCTCCGCGTGTGTTCGATATGATTCAAAAAAAGAAAAGAATAGAAAAAAAATGAATAAATTGTTTCGAACAATATATAATGTACATTTAAATAGTTAATTTATCTCTTGTATAATATAAAATTTTAATTTATATATATATATAAATATGAATGTTGCGAATATATAAATATGTAGAAAGTCTTTCATTAATAATAATAAATAGTGAAAAAAGTAGTGCGAAAAGTAAAGCAAAATAAAAAAAAACATACGTTGAAGAAGCAATTAATAAATTAATTGAATAATATAATATAATAAAATTAATTAGATAGAATTAATGTGTTTTATTATAAAAAAAAAAAAAAAAACAAATACAAAAAAGAAACAAAAGAATTCATTCCGTTCCCATATACAATACAATTATTATTATATATTTCATTTCTTTTTTATTATTTCATTTGATTATTACATAAATTATAAAATATGAAATCACATGTGACAAATGTTTTAAATATACCATTAAAAATGTGCATTTAACATTTATCCGCATTCAACGTGTAACTTCATGCGCAATATTCTTATCTGATTAACTTAATTTTCAAATCACAATCAGACTTAAAAAAAGAACAAGACAAAAAGTAAGTTTCATATAAATTTCGAATAAATAGATTACAATGTGACTTGTATAAAGTTTACAATAAAAACCGTGCCTTTTTTTTTCGTATAAATAAAACTAAACATAATTATTTAATAACCATTTATATGATCATTTATGATTATATAATATAAAACTATGAATGTGTAAGTTTATTTTGAAAAAAATGTTAATTATTGAAACGATAAAAATATTAATATGCAAGATAAACTCTAAAAGTAAATGATAAGATTTATTTTGAGATTATATATATACGATTATATAACTAATACTATATTAAATTTCATTTTAAACAGTAATACAATACAAAATATACCGAAAGTTTTATCAAAAAGAAAACACCATATATAAAATAAAAATAAAATAAATCTTATCTTATCATATATTGCCCATCTATTTTTGATTTCACCAAGTATAAACAATTAATTACATAAAAGTATATATCTCGTAATAATATTATTTAATACTAATCAAATAGAAAAAATGTATTTCTTTTTTATAAATTTATCTCATTGTCAGACAATATTATATACCTATATTTAATATCTTTCAGTAGATCTATACAATTATAGATTTTTCTATCGTCGATCAGGAAGAAAAAATATCTCGTTATTGAATTTTTCAATATTTCAGTCAAGTCAAGATCATAAAATTGATCTTAAATATTATTAATATTTCTTTCAAGATTATCAAGCTCAGATAAAATAGCTTGCGGAAGATCATTACCAACTTGTTCATCGAAGTACTTTCTCAAATCTTTCACTTCTTTTTGCCAGAAGGATTTGGGTATTCTAAACAATTCCTCTAGATCGATGTCTTCCTTTAAATTTTTCAGATTAAGTGAGTCAATTTTTGGTATGAAACCAATCGGAGAATCTCTGGCTATATTTTCATTCTCTATTCTACGAAGTATCCAATCCAAAACACGAGAATTATCACCGTATCCTGGCCAGAGATATTGTCCTCGAATATTTTTTCTAAACCAGTTAACGTGAAAGATAATAGGTAATTTGGCATTTTTCACATTAGCCATGTTCAACCAGTGATTGACATAATGTCCAAAATTGTAACCGAAAAATGGTCTCATTGCGAATGGATCGTGCATGATTATTTTACCCTAATGAAGAAATCACGAAGTTATGTTTATTTGAAATATTGGTATAGAATAAAAAAAAAAATAAATAAATCAAACAATTGAAAAATGTAAGATTTATTTTAAATTTACCTTATATTCTGCAGCAGCTGTTGCTTCGGATCTCATCGAGGCTGCAATGAAAACACCATGTTGCCAATTTCGAGATTCGTATATTAATGGGACACCCTCTGGTCTACGACTACCAAAAAGTATCGCATCGATTGGTACCCCATTTGGATCTTCCCAAGCTGGATCAATTATCGGACATTGTCGAGCAGGTGTACAGAATCTTGAATTAGGATGAGCAGCCGGAGTTTTTGAATCTCTGTTCCATTTGTTATATCTCCAATCGGTAATCTGTAAGTAACGTTTCAATTTAACTTTTCTTTATCTTCTTATTATTTACATTTTCATTTTTTCGTTCTTACCTCAACGTTACCATCAATATCTTTTTCCATTCCTTCCCAAAATACACCACCGTCACTCGTAGAAGCAACATTTGTAAAAAGAGTATTCTTAAAGATCGTCATCATAGCATTGGGATTGGTTTCCATGCTTGTTCCTGGAGCTACCCCAAAGAATCCATACTCTGGATTGATAGCACGAAGCCTACCTTCTTTGTCAAATTTCATCCAAGCGATGTCATCACCCACACATTCAATTTTATAACCCGGAAGTGTTGGTTTCATCATTGCCAAGTTGGTCTTACCGCAGGCACTTGGAAACGCAGCGGCTATGTAACGTTTTTTACCATTTGGATTGGTGATTCCTAATATCTGAATAAATAAAAAATTCCAATTCTCAAAAACTTCAAGAAAATAAATAATTCAATCGAATATAATTATTATTAATTTACCAGCATGTGTTCTGCAAGCCATCCTTCATCTCTAGCAATCGTTGATCCAATTCTTAACGCGAGACATTTTTTACCAAGCAAAGAGTTACCCCCATAACCACTACCATACGATACTATTTCGTTTTTTGCAGGCTTGTGAAGAATAATTGTTCTTTCTGGATCACATGGCCAAGAAGGATACACGGTTACTTTAGAATCCGTTTTAGGTGTACCAACCGAATGTAAACATTTAACGAAGTCATTATTGCCAAGTATTTCCAATATCTTTGTACCCATTCTCGTCATGATCTTCATCGAGCAAACAACGTAAGGAGAATCCGTTATTTCTATACCTATTTTGGAAAGTGGGGCTCCTATTGGTCCCATGCTAAATGGTATCACATACATCGTTCGATCTAAACAATTAAAATGAATTATTTTCATCAAATAATTTCTGTAGATTGATTTGCATGAATATATCATATGTATATTAAAATAAATTCAACTAACTTTTCATGCAACCCGGAAATCGTTCAAGAATAGCTTTTTCCATGTTATCAGGTGACATCCAATTTCCAAGTTCACCAACAATACCTTCTTTAGGTGTTGGTATTGTTTCATTTTTATTTTCCGTACTAATAAACGTGCAACGTTCTACGCGAGCTACATCAGCTGGATTCGTTCTGGCCAACCAACTGAAATGATAAATAATTTCTTTGTTGTTTTTATTTTTTTTATTTTTAAATTTAAAATATACTGCACTTTTTCGTAAATCAATAAACAAAAAGTTTGCATAACTAACCAGTTTTCGTATTTTGGTAAAGGTTGGATAGTTTTATTTTTTTCCAGAAGTTTTAATAATTCAGCATATTCCGTTTCACTTCCATTGCATATGTAAATGTCCTTGGGTAAGCATAGACTAGCACATTCCTCGATGTAAGAACGAATTTTTGGTGAAAGAGCTATATTTGGTACATTCAATAATGGAATTTTACCAATGCTGTCGTATCCATTATTCAAAGCTTCTGCTACACGCGTCACCAAATTTGAAACTCTATAAAAATATATCATTTTATTTAACCAAATAATATCAATTAAAATAATAAAATAATTGTATTGAGATAATTAACGATTTATCGAGAATTATTTATTAAATAACAAATTAATTAATAATAGAGTTTAAGTTCTTAATTGTTCTTTTTTTATTGTATTTTTCCAACAAATAATGATACACAAAATTGTTGACATTTAAAATAAAGTACGTCCTCATCTTTCATATTTCTCTTTATTTCTTGTATGCAAATGAATATTAAAATTATCAAAACCTGTTTTTCATACTACAATTTTTAAAATAATACTATTTGCATTAAGCATAATAATATATTTACATGTATAGTAACAAATGATTTAAATAATCTGTTTACTTCAAAGATTTATTCATGTTTACCCCATTTGAGATTACAACTTTTTTCGAATACGGTTCAAGAAGCCATATCTTTTTTTTTAATATATTGCCAATTTTACAATGCTAAATTTTGTTTTTTTATACTTTAAATATACTATTTATACAAAAAAAAGGTCTTATTTCGACGTATACTTTATTCAAAATAACTGATAATAGTTAAGTATGATTGTACATACGGTGTGCAAGTGGTCTCGAATGGGTTAAGAAATGTACTTGAAATCTTTCTTGAAATATTGTTATAATATTATTTCCATAAATATAATGTAAATGAGATGAATTGTCTAAATTTTATTTAAAGTACATCTTGTTGAAAGATTTTACGATGAAGATAAATGTGCATTTAGATAAAATCGTTTCAGAAAATTTTGTACGATAATAACACACTTATAATCATCAAATAAAATAAAACTAATTGTAAGATTTAATAAAAGATTTAATATATAACAAGAGAATATATGATTAAGTAAAAATAATAATGTATTACTCACTGTGTATGATAAATGTCAACTGCGTAAGGCATGTTTCGTTCTAATATAATTCGTTTCTTCTCAATAATAGTTTGCGATGATATCGATAAATAAGTTCTTTTTATCGTTCTTGAGGAATCCTTAATAAATCCAGAATAATTAGGCGAACAACATTGAAGTATGTTTCGAAGATGATTATCAGTTGATTTTCGAACAGGACTGGTATTACCACAAACGATCGAAAAATTGCGTAAATCGTTGAAGTGTCTTTTAGTGATTCTCCCCAAACCGTAGTAGAAAGATACTTGTTCGAGTCCAGCAGGCATGTTGGCAAATTATTTAAATTGTCGTCTTTTATATGTAGCGAAAGATGAATAATACGAGGAAGAAGTGGAAATTTAAATTGACCTAAGGACAAATATTTTTTTTTATTGTTAACTCTTTGAAAAAAGTTCCTGAATTTCCGGTGATCTATGAACGTTTCGATGGAGGGGAAAATCTAATTTTTTTAGTGTGTGTGTATGCGTGTGGATGGATGGGTATATAAATGCACGTGCACGTGTCTATGGAAAATCAATGTTCGTTTGTATTAGCGTAAAAGATCGATACAAAGATCGATTGATCAGCAAATATGACAGTGTTTGAACTATTTTGTTTTTCACAAATGATATCATAGACTATACTTTGTCTTTCTCGCCTTTGGATCGGTTCCACGTCTTTGACCGCTATTTATTGCTCCTTACTAACTGAGATACTTTATTTGCTTGTCAGAAAAGAAAGTATAGTTTGGTAGAATTGTTCTAAAGATAAAACAACAAAATAAATATATTATTAATAATATAATATTCTATTATATATAATAAATGTATTACAAAATAAAAATATACTTTAATTTGTATTTATTCATTTAAAACAAAAAACTATTGCATCACAGAAATTTTTGTTATGTACATTTATATATTTAAATATACCAAAAGTAAAAGAGAGAGGAGAGATAGAGTAGATTGTTAACAAAAAAAGAGATAGACAAACAATTATTTGCTAGTTTAGGATAAATATATTACTTTAAAAATATAGTACCGTTTCGTTTCTAATTAAAGTTGATTAGAGAATTAAATTTAAAGTGATAAAAAAACGATACTGTTTAGATAAATAGATACAGACGTTTGAAGAAGTAAAAGGATGACCCACACAGTAGAAATAGAAAAAACTAAACAAGATAAGACAGGGTAGGATGTCAGTAGCTCGATCTCGATAAGACTATTGAACTTGCGTCTGATTCGTAACTAGATGCTATTCACCTTTTAATGAAAGTAAAAGCCGGTTCGTACGATTTCCGATCGACCCACACAAACACACACACGCATAAGTATATATATATATATATATTTTTTGTTGTTGATATCTTTCGTTCGTATTTTGCGTCATTCCAATAGAATCTTATAATTATTTACGCATAAATAATTTGTTTCTCTCTTTCTATTTTTCCTACCTTTTTTATTTTCTATTTTCTCGTAATTATTTGATCATTAAAAAAGGATTGTTTGTATTTGATTAAATTTGATTTGTGTTAATTGAATGTAATCAAAGGGATACATTAAATGTTAATTTTTTTTTCTTTCTTTCTTATATATTAAAATTATTTATATTATATTTGAAAAAATTAGTTGTGAGTGTGTACGTGTGTCACGTATTTATTATATGTATTATGTATTATTCATTAATTAATTATTTTCTTTTAATTATATTTTAAAGGAAAATTAAGAAAACGTTGTTTGTGCGAACTTCGGGAAGATTCGAGATTTCGTTCGTATTCCGATGAGTAGAGAACGCGAACTGACAAATATGAAATTTCTACTTTCCACGAAACTTCATTTACAATAAGACAACGTGTTGAATGATAAGCGTTGTGAGTTTAACGATCACCTGTCTTATTATTTCATTTTTGATATTATCTTGTTAACAAAAATTTTTTATTTTGTTCGTTAAGATATCTCACTTATGTTTAAACAATTTATTATACTTTATTCGTACGTTTATAAATCTTTCAGAAATCTCTTGGTTGTTTTTTTTTTTTTTTAGTTTTTTAATTAACCTTAACAATTTATTTTTATTCACTGAAAATGTGATTCACATAATCGTATAAATATTCACACATGCAATAAACAATATACCGATAACAGATTTGACACGTATTCATTCCTAATTTATTTCTTCTATTGTTTCCAACTTATTCAAATTTTCTTTTATATACTGGAAGAAAAATCGATACATGTCTACAACTTCGAAAATCAATGCGAGAATATTTTGCTTATCATCAGCGTAGGCGTTTGTAGAAACAATCATGTGTTAGTGACTTCAATTAAATACCCGATAAAAGAGAGAGAAGGATAAATAGATCAATTTTGCGAGGAAAATAATATCTTACGTGATTGAATCGCTGTATGGAATAATTTTTCTTATTTATATTTTATTTTTATATCATAATTAACAATATTGTTATAAAATATTTGTAACATTACTCATATATAATCTACAATGCATTTATTCCGATTATTCAATATTTTTTATTGAATATTTTTATAAATTTATTTTCTTTTTTAATATTAATATAATTAAATTAAATTAATATTAAATTTATTCTATTAAATATTATTATTATATTATATTATTATTATATATTATATTAATATAATTTAATATTAATATATAAATTTTGAAGTTTTACGATGAATCATTGATGAAACGATGAAAAAAAAAAAAACCATTAAAATATATTAATGTTTACCGTAATGTAAATATCAATATTCTCTCTTTCCGTGTTGATTAATTTAATCGATTATTATCGAAGGCTCGTCTATCCTTAACGAGAAAGAAATAAATTTATTATTTATCTTTGAACTTCGTAATAAAAGTTTCTTATTTCTTTTGCACAGATTAAATTTTGCTTATTTTTTTTTCCATAGTAAAGACTTGAACGATATTGTCGTTTGATTATCACAAGAGAAATGTCGGTCTTATTAATTATCAAACACAGACAATTCCTGGACTACGGACTATAAGCCAGGAGCGGATTCAGTCAAGGTACTAACCCGTTTTCAAAGAATTTCAACGGATTTTATCTAATTATAAAAGAATATTCATTAAGATAAGAAATATGTCACAACAATTTCATTATTCATTCCAAAGTTCAATTATTTTGATTATAGTATATTTTATTTTATTGGGGTTTTTTTTTTTTTGAAATTATCAAATAACGTATACGCAATATTTTTCGTCTCTTTATCGAAATATAAATAAAAGATTATTAATTTCGAGTAAAATTTAAATCATTTCGATTCCAAAGTTCATACAAATATTTTTTTTCTTCTTCAAATTAATCGACTTATCAATCGATATAATACGAAGAAAAATTTTTTTAATTGTTGTTTTTTCATAATACAAGTAAATATAAATTTTAATAGATTTGTGATGTCTATTTATAATATAATACTTGTCAACAAATTTATTTTCTCGATAACAACAACATAATCAAAACGTGGGGATATAGTATAACGTGACTGTTATTAAATTCACGATTGAAACACGTTCTACTGTATAATATGACAAACAAGAGTCAATATTTTCCACTTCGGACCAGTGGAAACCTTAGATCGATTGATTAACCACAGCTTGAGCATTTGGTTTCGTAATGATGGTATCTTTTTCTTTTTTTTTTTTTCATTAGCTATTATTTTGTTCTTAATATGTCATATATCTGTGTATATTTTTATAAATATAAAAATATGATTTCCTCGCGAAAAATGTTAAAAATCTTCCAAGACAAAAGTCACGTTCAATAAATAATATAAGCGATTAATGTTAAGAGTTTACATTGGAACATATGTGCAGATAAATCCGGTGACGGTAAACCAGATCGGCCTGGTTCGACGTCAGAAATGTTTAGTTGATAACTTATGGGTAATATATATATTTAAATCATAAATAATTAGTTAATAATTTTTAAATTAATTTTTTTTTTTTATTACGATAAATGTATGCTAAATTTATTCTTCTTATAAATATTAATTTATATATTATATATATTATATATATTATATATATAATTAATATAATAATAATAATAATAATAATAATAATAATAATAATAATAATAATAATAATAATAATAATAATAATNTAATAATAATAATAATAATAATAATAATAATAATAATAATAATAATAATAATAATAATAATAATAATAATAATAATAATAATAATAATAATAAGTCCGCGAGTTTCTCTATAAAAAAGCCAGACTGAAGTCTGAGAGGAAAATGATAATAATAATAAAATATATATATGTATATACATATTTGTTTATATCAATTGTACTATATTATTATTTATGATAATAAAAAGTGTTTACGTAATTTTTTTATGTTAATATATTTTTTTTTTTAATTTTTCCTTTTGAATATTATTTGAATATTAATTAATGTTTTTGTGGAATAATCTAAAAATAGAAATCTAAACTTTATAAGGAAGTAAACAAGATTGAAAATGTTTTTAACGAATATTACCAAGCTGATTAACAGATTTTTTAGAATAAGTATTTTAAGTATATTTAATCATCTGCATAAAATATTCCAGTCTCAAGTCAATTTCACAAATCATATGGATGGTATAAACAAACGTTTAATGAAGTTGTTGATATTCTGACGTATCTGGAGGCTCGTCTGTGTGCTTTGAGATACGTTTATCGGTATTTATTGCATAACGGCAGGCTCACATATGTTATACGATATAGTATATACAAATGATTTCGCAATTGCCGTCATTTTTCAAAATAAGTAATTTTGCTTCTCGATTGCGTGAGACATATTTCTTTTTTTATTTTTCTATATTATATTATTGCTTTGAAATAAATAAATTATATATATATATATATATATATATATATATATATATTATAATTAATATAAATATTAAATATAATATTTAATTAATTAATATATAATTAATTAAATATTATATATAATCTAATATAATATTAAATATAATTAATTATTCCAAATATTAAACTATTATTTTTATTTTTTACGAAAATATATTTTTTTTCTTTATTTAAATATAAAATATAAAAATATGTAAAGTTTTCAATAAACAAATATACTCTATAGTATTATTTACTTAGAAATTTGTTCTTTTTTTTTATTTTTTCATATAATTTTATTTTGTTTAGAATAGGATTTAACAAAACTACTTTGATTTCTGTTTAATCTCTTCTTTTTTCTGTTTCTATCGATATCAGCATGTTTTGTTGAAGAAATTTTTATCGTAGAAAATATTAGCATTTATCAATCTTATTAATTGTAAACACACTCTGCCAGATTGCTTTCGAATTGCAAAAGTTTAGAAAGTTGCTTAATATGTTTAAGATCAGAGAACCCCCTGCGAAGTATTAATCAACAGCTTGGAAATATTTATCGAATGATCTTTAACCTCTTGATATATTTCCTAACAAGAGTTAAGTTTTAATTTCATACTTATTTATTGTCTTCTTTGATTAGCAATTGTTCATTGCGAAATTTTATGATTATCAAAGAGATATATTCTTTTTTTAAATCAAATTTACGAAATATAAATTGAAATATTTATTGCCAAGTTTTGTACGTAAATAAAATCAAATACGTCACTCGTAGAAAAATATGTTATTTTTGATATCGAAGAAATTTGAAAAATATCAATAAAACTTTAATTTGAAAATATACACAATTCTTTTGTAGAAATAAATAAGATTTAATGATTGAATGTTTAAATTTACGCTCGACAAAATGGCGGTATTAGATGAGATAAATCGAGTTAAACGCCGATGCAGAGACATCTATGAGAACAAATGGGAAACTGTTTGTAAAAATGTGGTATACTAGAACGCGGTCGATAGTCATTCATCGAAATTTTCTCTATCCCGTGGCTATATCAGCTGTTCGCTGCTAGTTCGCCAGCTGTAGCAGGGAGTTGAAGTTTATTGTTTGGGAAGCAATATGGCTATCTGGTGATTAGTAATTGTGCGATACGCTAGACAAAGAAACAACGCAGTTCTCATGGTATTTGGAGCCGCGTTGTACGTTAAATTGTAGTTGACTTAAGTAAGAAGTAAATATAATAAATTAGGAATGTTGGAACTCGAGGTAGTGCCCGAAAGATCCCTTGGTTGTGAGCTGTGGGAATTTATTTTAGGCAAGTGACGAAACACTTTTAACGTATCGCTACACTTACTTACTTATTACGCGTTATTTCTTACGTCGAACCAATGATTTTATGATAATAATATGAATTATTTAATACCATTATCTTAATATTATTTTGCTCTCGCAAAATGTTATCAACAATCTTATATTTACGGTATAAATCTTTTATCTTCATACTTCTATTTGTAAACACTTTGACAATTGCGTGTAAACAAAGAAATAAGATTCGAATGACAATGTTTGTTACTGATTATATAATTGAAGCTTAGTTGTTTTTTAGCATTTATCAGCAAAATCAACAACCATTAATAATTATATCATGTAATCTTATATTGTTTAAAAACTCTTCACTTATTGCATATTTATTAAAGTTTTTCTTTCTTTTTTTCTTCTTCTTGTTATTGTTTGTTTTTTTTTTATTTTTTTCATTTGTTTCAAAAATAGGACCTAATATATATATATATAAACATGTCATTATTATATTGTAATTTATAACTATAGCAGGAGAAAATAATTCAATGAAATTCTATAATGTTTAGCTATTTTTTAATAAACATTTCTTTTTAGGTATGCATTTTTCCCAGTCTGTATCAATAATACAATCTCAAGTGGGCATTATTAGAGGAGTACAAGTACTTTATAGCGATAGTGTAAGTGATTATTTATTTTTCATTGATATTTATCTTTTTTTGTATTAATAAATAATTTTCTTTCTTCTTTATGTTTGTATAGAATCCATTAGAAGTAGATTTAGTAATAAACTTACCTCATGATGGCGTTAGACTCATATTTGATCCGGTGGTGCAGAGGCTTAAGATAATTGAAATTTATAATATGAGATTAGTTAAACTGAAATATTGCGGTTTGCCATTCAATTCACCGGAGGTGTTACCTTCGATCGAACAAATCGAACACTCATTTGGAGCTACTCATCCTGGAGTATACGATAGCGAAAAACAGGTATAATAATTGTATTACATACACATATTAACACTAGATATACCAAACCAGTCATTTTGACTGATCGGGCCATTTTAATTCAAAATTTCGACTTCATGTAACATTTGATTTCTGTAAATAATTAAGCGTTTTGTTATTTAAAATATCTATAAATTTATTTACCTATTAGAATTATTATTGTTAAGCATTTTTTGTTATTTTTCAAGAAGCATTTTTTTTATACACCAGTCATTTTTACTATTGTGGTAGAAATAGGTATACTGAAAATGATGGTATATCTAGTGTTAAAAACAAACAAAATCATTTATATATGCAAGGTATCCTGTAATTGATAGTACAATCAAGCAGTTAGTAATTCTATATGGAAAACTAAACTAAAAATAAGTTTGAAAATTTATGAAGTATTAAACGTATATTTGATTTAGTTTCAGTTCAATGGATTTCATTATTTTATTATTGCATATTTTAAAAATGATTCTTGTACTTCTTTTTTAGTTTTCACATTTTTTATTTCATCTTTTTATGTAGAATCATATTCTCTTCGCTTGTATCACCAATTACAGGATATCTTTTAAATTTATGAAATTTATTAAAATAATCTTTCTCTCTTATTCGTTTAGGTTTTTGTGTTAAACTTCAGAGGATTATCATTTTATTTTCCAATTGATTCCAAATTCCAGCCAGGATATGCACATGGCTTAGGTTCATTACAATTTCCAAATGGAACTTCCCCTCTTGTTGCAAAGACAGCTATTTATGTTGGTAATATGGCTACTGGTTCTAATAGTGAAGAACACAATATGAGAGCCCCACCACCGCCATTACCACTTGTAATTAATTCTTTGTTAATTAGAATTTTTAAAAAGGCACAGTGTTGTGTATTTGAATTATTTATGAATATTAATAAGGGATCAAATCTAACAGGTGTGTTATCATAATAATTTATATTTGGAAAAGGCTGAAGTTATGCGCGATAAAATGCATACACGAGGTCTCAGATTACACCTTTTCACTGAAGGAAGTTCTGTTACAAGGGTGCTATTAGAACCGAGAAGGAGTGGTCTCACTAAAGAAGTACTTATTTCTATTTATTTATAATTGTATGAGATATATTCAATGTTTAATGTAAAATTATTTCAATTATAGATTTTATTTGGTGATACTTGCGAAGATGTATTAAGTGCTCTTGGTGCACCATCAAGAGTATTTTATAAAGCAGAGGATAAAATGCGTATTCACAGTCCTCATGCACATAAACGTGATAAGATTAGAAGGTCTGATTATTTTTATAATTATTTTACGTTAGGATTGGTGAGTATTGGTTGATATTGAAAAAACATGTATATTTATAAAATAATGATATATTTAATATATTATTGCTGTTATTTTTAGGATGTTCTATTTGATGCCAAAACTCAGTGTGTAAAGAAGTTTGTTTTACATACTAATTATCCAGGACATTATAATTTTAATATGTACCACCGTTGTGAATTTACTTTAATTTTTCCTCCAGATAATAAATCTACAGAATCGAAAAAACTCATTGACGTTTCTCCTTCTCCAGTTACAGTAATATTTTTATACACGAATATTTTTCATTTTTATTATCAAAATTATTTCTATATAAATATTAAAGATAAATATTTTCCCTAGATCACTGCCTATACAAAATGGGATAGTATAAGTGAACAGTTAAAGGCAAGTGCACGTCCTGTAGTGTTAAATCGTGCATCATCAACAAATACCACGAATCCATTTGGATGCACCTTTTCTTATGGAATACGTGATGCAATTATTGAAGTTATGGCTAATCAGCACATTGCCAGCGTGACTCTCTATAAAGCAGCGTGACCATAATTATATTTCAATTATGGTGAATATTAGAAAAAGACCTCTAAAAAAAAAAAGAAAAAATGAAAAAAAAAGTAAGCAAGCAAGAAAGAGAAAAAAAGGAAGGAAAAAGAGATTAAAAGAAAGAAAAAAATAAAGTAAGAATCACATTTTTGAATAGATAAAAAATGCAGACAAACTCACAGTTGATTTTTTCAATAATATATCTCTCATAGAAGAAAGACTGTATGATATAAAGGCGTGTGTGGGATGGATATGATTCGTTACACCACTAATAAGATTTTTAATAATAATATGATTTTAAGATGTAAACGCGTTGTGATTGAGGAAATGTTTGAGTACTCGTTTGTGTATCGATATTGCAACGTAAAGATAAGGTTTGGGACGTAGGACGGAGGGAAAAACAAAAATAAGAAAAAAAGAAAAAAAAGAAAAAATATAATAATATCATTTTTCACAATATTTATGTATGTATCTTTAAAATTTATACTTATTTTCTTCGGGATATTTAATATTACAAAGAAAATTTCCAACACCGATAAATATCACAATTTAATACATATTTTACTTTACGATCATATTGTTTATTATATAGCAAAAAGAAAAAAAAAACTATAAAATAAAATAAAACGTAACAAGGAGCTTCATTATATTGAAAAAAAAAAAAAATAATAAAAATAAAATAAAATAAAAATACGAGTAGTATATCATAAATTACTATGAATTTTGATAGTTTATAAACTACAGTGTTAACACTGCGATAATGAATAATATAATTATACTATATATATACTTACACACACATACATAACACACATACACACATATATATAGTATATGTATACATTAACATATGTTTAGATGAAGTGAACACTTAAATTTCATAAACAAAAATTTTATAAAAAAAACGTGTGTTGGAGATTAGAATCAGATATCAAACAAAAACTCTAAAATTCATAAATGCAAGTAATACAGTGCAATACTGTTTAGATAGCTATAATGCTTTTACAGTTAGTGAGATTTATTAATAACTTCATAAAAGAAGTTGTAAGGATAAAACAATATTTCTGATTTTTTATGCAAAATAATCTTGATTAATATAACAGTATAAAATACACAACATGAGGTTTCGAGAATTTATTTTGCTTATGTCTGTATTTATTATTAAGGAAAAAAAGGTAAAAAAGAAAAAAAAATTAAACAAACAAAACAAGGGAATGTTCATAACAAATGTATCAATTTTTATGTCCACGATTGAATTATTCTTAGAACAGAAAAGAAAAAGAAATGTGAGAAATTATTTCGAAACAAGACCTAAGAAACATTATTACATACATTGGCGTATTTTTTTATTAAGATGCACATTTTTGTGTAAAGTACTCATAGATTATTTACATGCCTTATATATATATACATACATATGTGTTCATCTAGTTTGGTGTAAAAGTATTTCAAAGACGTTTCGTTAATTTTTCAACCCGGTAGATCATAGATCGTTTTATTTATACAATAATAATAATAATATTAATAATAATATTAATAATAATAATATTAATAATAATAATAATAATAATAATAATAATAATAGTAATCGTAATGATAATGATAACGGATAAAAAAAGAAAACAACATTTTATATCATTCATAATTTACGGAAGTTTATAAGAAATTAAAAAAATAATAATTATATATCTTGGTCAAAAAAAAAAAAAAATAGTAGAGCCTTGTAAAAGAAAAAAAAAAAAAGAAAAAGAAGAAAGAAAGAAACGGGAAAAAAAGATTCGTTCATCACTTAATTCACTTTGTCTTTGAATTGCACAATTACTACTGTTCCACCACCATTTAAGCTTTTTCTCATTAAGCATATGTAAGGTATTTAATAAGTTCTGTGTATCATATAAAATTTATATTAGCTGATAAACTAAAGTGATTGTAAGAATTCTATTTAATATATCATAAAGTGTGTAATAATCGGGTTCACACTATGTGAAACGTTCCGTCAGTGATAACTGTTTTGATTAACACATACTGTGCAACACAAAAACTTCCTCTCTCAACGCGTATTTTATACATATATATATATACATATAGAAACAGACAAACAATATATATATATATATATATATATATATATATATANATATATATATATATATATATATATAAACATAATAACAAAAAAAACCTAAAATTGTGAACTTCCGAAATTCTGAAAGATAAATCAAAAACTCGACACATTATATTACTACGAAATAGTCTGTCTTTCCAAATGTAATAAAACGTTTTATATATTTTAGCAAAATAATGCGCGTATAACATGGATGTTTTTGATGAGAGAGAGAGAGACAGAGAGAAAAACCGAAAAAGAAAAAAACGGCAACGTGTTAATCCATGAACAAAAATAATGAATTGTACTACGTTACAGACAGTTCCTTATTGAAAAGCATATATTGCAATTTTTAAATATGAACTGCAATTTTTTGGGCACTTTGTTTGTCCTTATTTCCCAAAGAAAAAAAAATGCAAAAATAGAAAAAAGATTAAAAAAAAAAAAAAACTAAAAAAAAAATCACGAAAAAAAAAAGAAAAGAAAATGAAGTAATAAGAAACTCTGTTTGTGACCAAATATCTCTCCAAAATATGCCCGGAGAAAATTATTTTAAATAATTTTTAATTGCATGATAATTGTTTTTATTCTTTCTTTCGTGTGACTATTATTATAAGAAGCATGAGAATTTTCTTTGTGAAGAAAGAAAAAAAAAGAAAAAAATAACAACAACAATTTTTGTTAATGCGCTTCGAAAGATAAAATTAGTATTAATTTTTATATTTCAATTAAAATTTTTTCAGGTTAACTTATATCATTAATTATGCAATAATAATAATGTAGAGAGAGAGAGAGAGAGAGAGAGAGAGAAAGAGACAGAGAGAGAGAGAAAGATATATCGTGAGGATATATAAAATGATCATTGAAAATATATGAATTTATATTATTGATTAATTGGATTTACATCATTTTATTACAAAATTAGACAACCTTTTTTTTCTCTCTCTATATATACATATATATACATATATATACATATATACATATGAGCCGTTTATTTTGAAAGTGACCTAAGTCTATTTTAATATTTTTGATTATTGTTGACACAGTAATAATATCTTCAATTGGAAGTTGATTGTCATAAAAAACATTTCACGGAAAAAATACAAAAATGGATTTAGATCATTATGAAAATAAATGGCTCATATATGATTATTCTATCACAATAATTCTTACTCCGTCTTTTTTAATCTCTATATCTATTTTTCATCTTTATCTCTCTATAAAGTGTCTCTCTCTCTCTCTATCTATCTTATTTTAGTTTGTAAAAATAGTCATTTTGTATGCAATCGTCTATAAAATCACGAAAAAGTAATTTTTTTTTTTTTATACAAATCACTCTTCTTTTTGTCGTATTTTTGTTCTTCTAAATTTTTTTCTTTTATTCGTACATAGATAAATGCTTCAGACCAATTTTACCGTTTGCTTGCATCGCAAAGCATGCAGCTTGCTCGAGGTTCGTGATATTTATAAATAAAAAAACAAAAGAGTGGACATTAAACGAAAAAAGAAGGAAAAAAATAATAATAATAAAAGAACAAACCCCAACAAAAAAAAAATAAAAAAAATAAATAAAAAATAGAAAAACATTCCCACATTCAGATGCGCGACATCTTTTTTAAATAGCGTATTTTAAATATGTCAGTTGTGCATAAATACATAAATAAGTTTTCTTCTGACGAGAATGAGATTCTCTCTCTACGTTAAAAAAAAAAAACGGTCTTCGATATAATTATTGTAACCTAAAGAAAAAAAAAAAAGAAAAAAAAAGAAGTGATAATTACCCTGATGAAAAAGTACAAAAAGAGGAAATTATAATCATTTCTTTTTCCGTTTTTAATATTATTACATTTTATTCTCTGTTTTCATTACGGATTATCGTTGTTTGTTATAACATTTATAACAAAAGGAGATAAGAGATGATAACAAATCGAAATAGTTTGTTTTTATACCTAAAAAGCACATGTGCTTTTAACGTATTTAAATACACATATACGTAACGTTATTAAATATGTCAAATAACACAAAACAAAAAAAAACAGGTATTTATTATCGTATATATATTTTATACGGTATTATTTATTATCATATATATATATACATACATA